AAAAAAAAAAAACAGAGACCAGTGGCCATACACACTATCTGAGTGTACAAGTACTGCTCTACTAAAAAAGAAAACTTGCTCCCCCTGGCCGCCACAGAGCATGAAGCTGACCGGCATTGTCCGTCTGAAACAACTCAAAAACGCCCCGAGTTCGTTCGTGCTAATTTTTCCCCAGGAACGTAACAACATTTGGGCCGCAAAGAGCCGTTGGGGCCGAAAGAGACGAGCCTCTTGTGACTCAGTCAGGGCCACCCCATCCGAGCACATGACTGCTGGATCGAGGCGGACCTCAAACTTAAGTGACTGCTACGAGCGAATGACATTGTATAAAAGCAAACGGAACTGCTCTCGTTGCTTGCACACGGATCGCAGAAACGTCGAGTAGTGGGGCTTCGAACGGAGAATCAGATAGGTGCAACTCTCACTGCTACCTTTGTGTCTCCCGAGGAGCGCATTTCTCTGTGCACGGTGAAGCTTGTTGAGGGGGAGTGGAGGAAGAGGTCGAGGGCAATGGCGCGTCAGGTGGTTCTTGCGGTCGTTCTGCTGATGATCGCTTCAGTTCAGGCAAGCGCGCAGACTCCGCCTGAGGTGACTATCAATTACGTCACCTATGGAGGTTCCGGGTGCGGCTATGAGAACACCAACTACGTGCTGTCGAACGACTACAAGACGATATCCTTCATTTTCAGCGGGATGGCTGTGACCACGGACGGGTCGCCCGCCGACAAGAGGAAGGCTTGCCAGATATCGTTCTCTTTGAACTACCCGGATGGCTGGAGCGTCTCCATTGGTCAGGTCACGGGCAGCATGAGCGTTGACATCGCCAAGAACTCCGAGGGCATCTTCACGACGCACTTCTACTTCTCTGGACAAAGCGGGACGGCGATCATCGAGCGCAAAATCAAAGGCCCAAAGGTTGGCAGCTTCAAGATCACAGACAGCTTCCTGACGCTTCTCTGGAGCGAGTGCAACAAAGCGCCCAACCTGAACATCAAGATGGTGGTGACAGTAGAGGGCGAGGAGGCTGTGATGGCGCTCGACAAGTTCGACCCCATCTTCAATCTCCAGTGGAGGCAGTGTCCGCAAAATTGAGACCCCCGTTCACCATCTCGCACTGACGGTGGCGGGTGAGCGGGAGGAGATAAAGAGCGGAGGGGTGGGAGAAGAGGGTAGCCGATTTGTCAGGGCTCACCCTCAGCGGAATCTAAGGGAAAGAGGCTACGGTCGATGCAGTGGCACTTTTCAGAAGATCCTGCCCAACGTTCCTCGGCACTCATGTGAAGGGAGAGCATGGAGATGGCCGCGCGTTCCTAGCCGTAGTTGTAAACGCCAAAAGAAAGTGTGGCCGTAGACACTAGATGGGAAGCCTTTTGTGTCCCATCACCAGATGCAGTCTCACTGCATCTACTTTAGTAGCTCGTTATCATATAGTACCTTCGCCCTGTCTCCCCTCCCTGCCTGGTCCAAACTGCACTATTTGTAGAGTAGCAAACGGTACTTTCATCTACTCTGTGGCCAGCGCTATTCCGCCTTACCCCCTCTCTCTCTCTCTCTCTCTCTCTCTCTCTCTCTCTCTCTCTCTCTCTCTCTCTCTCTCTCTCTCTCTCTCTCT